GATGACAAGCAGTGCAGAATCATGATTGAGAGCTCAACAGGGGCTGGTCAAGCTCTTGCATTCAAATGGTAACACAGGTTTCCTAAGGCACGTTAATTTTCACTTATTATTTGTGCTAAGTTAAAATTATATTGGCTTTTATTTTGTTTGTTGTTGTTGTTTGCTAAATTTGTATTTATTTTCAATTGTTCTGTTATACCTCCCTCATGTGGCAAGTTTAGGTTAATCCACCCCATTTAAGCAGTCTTTGTTCTTTGTCTGCAGGTCAGTTTTTTTGTTTAGTTACTGTTCAGTTGACCTCAGTTGAGTTGGGCCCAAATCTGTTATTTATCATTTGATTCATTTTTCATTGGAGTTTTGACCCTTTAAGTATTTTTGACATAATAAAATTTAATCATTTTCCATTTTTGAACACCTTTGTTCTCGTTTAAGTCTGGTCCACCACAGCAGGTGGTGTCTTAATGGCCTCTCGTTACAAAATCAATCCAGAGTTTTTTCAGGCGGTCATCTCTCGGAAACTTAAAGTCACCGAGCTGGTACCCTGCACATTGTGACATCCAGGGAAGATGCACGAATGAGGAGAATCAGGCATAATTGGTTAGCTAGCTAATAACAAACAAAATATCTATGCTATTTCTATCTGATGCTATCTGCGATTCGCAAGTGAATGGCAACCGCCGAGGTGAAGTGCATTTTTATACTGCTGGAGCAGCAGGGGGCGGAGTTATGCTGAAGGCAGCTGCGTGATGAAACACAGCCGCCTTTTAAAACACGCCCAAAATATCCTGAAACAAACACATCTTTAAACACAAATTGATCTATACCTCCAAAATTAATGTATCTAATTCCAAATAAACTGTTCTACAGCTGTGAGACTTTTTACTCATTTACAACAGTACAATTATGACATTTAAAATGTTTACTGAAGAAAATATTAAAATTTACTTTACACAGGCTTTAAAAGAAATCACCCACACTGGTTTCAAGTGAAGGGACAGCTACTGGTTACTGGTGCTCCTTTCTGTGACTTTGTAACCTAAACCAGACAAGACCTTGTAATAACAAGAGTTTACCCTCACAGACACAAGAAGGCTATCCTGTCAATAATGTGTTGTGTGTACAGTAATTTTTATGTGCAAACATAAAGGGTGAACAAACACAAACCTGGTGTAGGAGCCTGAACAGCAGCATCAGAAGTTCCTTACTGTGAGTGATGGTCTGAGCTGTTCTCATCCTGGGTGCTTGTACTGCAGTGAGGAAGAGATTTGTTGTTCAACATTAAACCTTTGTACTAAACAGTGAAGTATATTTTTTCACATGCTTACTTTGCTTTTCATAGTTTGCTATGAGACTGTAAATTTAGTTCTAATCTGCTCCTGTGTGTTATGTTTCAAAATAAAGCTAGCCTGTTCATATACCTTGTTATGAAAATGCTAAAAATGAACAGAATTGTGCTTACATGTAAGTATATATATATA